AAGAAAAGCACTTCAAGAAACATTTTGAAGTAGAGTAAGAAAAATACATGTAGTTTTGTCTGAAAATGTAAAATAATTAGAAAATAATTTAAAATGTAAAGTGACAACAGATAATGTGACAATAAAAAAAAATGAGAAATCAGGCGTTGGTGGCACATGCCTTTAATCCCAGCACTCGGGAGGCAGAGGTAGGCAAATCTCTGTGAGTTCGAGGTCAGCCTGGTCTCCAGAGCGAGTGCCAGGATAGGCTCCAAAGCTACACAGAGAAACCCTGTCTCGAAAAACCAAAAAGAAAAAAGAAAAAGAAGAAAGAATGAGAAGATAACAATGTTGTTGAATTTCTCGAATATAAAACAATTAGTCTTTACCAAAGGAGTGGATATAGATCCAGTATGATGATCGATTCCTAGAGAGAAGAACCAGGGTTTCTGGAGAAATACAAATAACAGAAATCCATAGTTCTATTTTTGTTGTGTTTTTTTTCTGTGTAGTCCTGGTTGTTTTGGAACTCACTCTGTATACTAGGCTGGCCTTGAACTCAGAGATCCGCCTGCCTCTGCCTTTTTCAAAAGTGCTGGATTGAAGGTATGCACCACCACCTGGCATGATAATCCTATTTGGATTTCCACTTACATGAAAGTTTTGTTCACCTGTTTCTATCACAATTAAGTGATCTCTGTCAAGCAGGTTCCAATTCTGTACTCAAGTAAGATGTACAAACACATCCCATAGATGGCAATGTATGTTATAAAAGAATGTTAAAATTGTTTCAAGAGTGGTGGCGCACGCCTTTAATCCCAGCACTCGGGAGGCAGAGGCAGGAGGATCTCTGTGAGGTCAAGGCTAGCCTGCTCTACAACAGCTAGTTCCAGGACAGCCTCCAAAACCACAGAGAAACTCTGTCTTGAAAAACCTTAAAAAAAAAATGTTCCAAGAGGTCCTGGGGAGATAGCTCAGTTGATAAAGTGCTTACTAGCCAAGCACAAAGACCCAGGTTCCATCCACAGCACCCACATAACAAGCCAGATTCAGCAATGAGTGCTTGTAATCCTGTCACTGGGGAAACTGACAGAAGATTCCCTGGGGACCTATTCTTCAGCTAACCTTGCCTGATCATGAGCCCCAGGCCCCAATGAGACCCCCTGCCTCAAAAAGCAAGGTAGATGACTCTTAGGAACTACACCTGATGTCAACCCCTGACTTCCACACACACACACACACACACACACACACACACACACACACAGTTACAAAAATTCAAAGAAGCACTCAAGCAGGATTTAAATGTGCAATGTTAGAAAAGAGAAGATCTTGGAGGTTAAATGGGTCACAATAAGGAATCACACAGCAATTCAGTTTGTCTTGTGTTTGCGAAGGAAGTAGTGGGAGATAAAGTTAGGGCCAAATTATATACCCCACCTCTACCACTTAGCATCAGCAGATAGTCCCTTAAAAGCAGTTAAGATAATCTTACCATCTGCCTTCCAACTGAGAGAATCAGATAAGGTTTCATACACTATCTAGCATAGAGATGTTCCTTGTGTTTTGGCATGAGAAGTCTTGATTGTCCAGTTAAGCCATTTAAATTTTTATGTTATTGGGAGCCACATTTAAAAAATTTTAAAAGGAAATTGCATAATCTGGGCTTTAGGATGAGTTGCAGGGAAAACAGGTCATATGAAGCCATTGCAGCAACAGCCTCAGCCAGCACATTGGTAGTATAAGTCACCATATAAAACTGTAAAAATTGCCAACGCTTTGATGATGGTGACAGCAGTAAGAAACAGGAGAGAAGTAACATCTTTGAAGGAAAAAGTGAAGAGTCTGTTTTATACACACCAAGTTAGAGTTACCATTGGGACCTCCGGAAAGTTGTGAATTCATTATTGGGGGTTGCAAGTTAAAAGAAGGTGGGGAGCTGCCTTCCCATAGGTAGGAGTCACAGGTTGTCTGAGATTGCTAAAAGGAAGGAGCATAGTCAAAAGTGGAAATAGTTATCAACAGACCCTTAGAGTTGGCAAATGAAGATTAGACAAATAATACAAATTTATTTACCTTTCATAAAACTTGTTTTTGCCTTTCTTTGTTGTTTTTTTTTTTAAGACAGCCTCAGCCTGTAGCCTCCTCTCCCCTGACATGCCTGTAGCCCAGGTTGGCCTCAAAGTCCTATCAGTCTTCCTGCCTCAGCTTCCCAAGTGCTGAGATTACAGGCATGCACCACTATGTCCAGCTTTTCTTTCTGTGTAGTATTATATCAACTGCTGAAGGATAACAGAAGAGCTGTTGAGATGGCAGGCCAGTTTGTGTTCTGGAAAACTCATAGAGCGTTTTAAGAAGTTAAGGTTAAGATGTCCCACAGTTGTTCTCAGAAACCACAGAGATAAGGGCAGCCTTCAGGTCCTCTAAGGAGGCTAATTACATGCCTGATTCTTTCTCACCAAAAGTTCAACAGCTGATTTTTACCTTGGCATATGTTGGTCACCCAGAGAGAGGGCAATTACAAGAAGGAAAATGGCATTCCAATCCTTCTCCCTATTGAAAATTGCTATGGATTTCTCTGGCACCAGCTGTTTTGATAGATTCTTCACCCATTAGTGCTTATAGCAGTCAGAAAAGGAGGGTGATTCGAGACCATGATCCTGGGGTTCTGTGAAGAACAAAGGGAGCTCCACTTTGTGCCTGACAAAGTGAAGTTGTTTGTCATAATGGGGAAATGACTTGAACTGACTGGTTTAATTTCTTTGTTTCTAACTGGGGCCTTGTGTTTTAATTAACTTTTACAAGGTAATAATGGGCAATAGCCATAATCCACTTGGCTGGCAAGGAATTGTATGGAGTTCTACTGCAATATAAAAATGTGCTAAGTCTTTGATACTAGAGGGTTTTGTGATACTTTAAAATTAACGAGCTGGCTTTATTCTCTGCATACACTGCTAGGCTTTTTTATGACCTTTTATTCCATTCTGTGTTAAGAGATGTGTGTGTGTGTGTGTGTGTGTGTGTGTGTGTGTGTGTGTGCAGTTTTTGTTTGTTTTTTAGGAAGCTTCACAACTAGGCTGGTTGAAAATTCATTTGTTGAAACATTTTACCAAGGTCATCCTCCTCCTGTTTTATTCTTATGGTGACCCTTAACACCTATCAACTTTATTTCTCCCTTACCACCATTTTCCAGCTCATCCAGTTGCATGAGTGAAGAGGTTGATGCGCTTGGGGTCGGGGGCTGAGTTGTTGTACTACTCTGTTAATGTAACAAAGTACATTAGACTGGGTAACTTTATAAGAAAAAATGTTTGTTCAGCTCACAGGTCTAGAAATTCAAGGGCACGGTATGGCACTGCTATCACCTTGGGTCTGGTGAAAGCCTTCCTTATGATGGGTGGGATCACAGGGTTAGGGTTGTGTTCGAGAGAAAGCCATTGCATCTTTTATAGCATCTGATTTTCTTAAAAGTTCTACATTACCTGTTAACATTGACACGCTAGGGACAGCTTCTGGCACATTCTCAGGAGTGTGCCTTGAGGAGGGGATTTGTAGAATATCTCTAACCTGTACTGTGACAACTTAACGAGATTTGATTTCTTCTTTTTTGGCAGTAAGTACAAGTTGATCCTGGGTGATGAGCCTGTGGAGAAACGAAGGAGATTCCAAACTGACATGACACCGTCTCCTATAGACTATTCCATCTCCAGTCCTTACAGGAGGGTAGACGCAGCTGTTGCCTACCCAGATGGAGAAAACAGCCATGATAAATCCAGTTCTGAGCGAAGTACACCACCATACCTCTTACCAGAATACCCAGAAGCAAACAAGAATACAGGACAGAACAGGGAAGCTCCAGCACTTTGTCCAGGGTCCCAGGACCAAGACCAGGAATCCCTGCTTCCTGAAGAATTAGAAGATCAGATGCCAAGATTGGTAGCAGAAGAATCTAACAGAAGTATCGAAAACATAAACAAAGAAGTGAATAAAGGGCCTTTTGTGGCTGTAGTCGGTGTTGCAAAGGGACTTACAGATTCAGGAGCTCCCATCCAGCTGATCCCTTTCAACAGGGAGGAGTTTGTAGGGAGAAGAAAGGCAGCAGAATCATGGAACCCAAATCCTTATTCTGTGGCCCCTGCCACAGCCACTCCAGGGAAAGGAAAGGGCTGCCAGGAGAGCGGAGGTCGTAACATGCCAAAGATAAAGAATCAGAAAGAACTGGAAGAATTGAAGAGAACCACGGAAAAACTGGAACGTGTTTTGGCTGAAAGGAATTTGTTCCAGCAAAAGGTTTAGTCACTGCCTTATCACTAGGGATAAGAAGAGGTCATTGTAAGCAAGGAACTAGGGCAGTGGTTCTCAACCTTCCTAATGCTGCGACCCTTTAATACAGTTCCTCATGTTGTGGTGACCCCCAACAATAAAATTATTTTGTTGTTACTTCATAACTGTAATTAGCTACAGTTTGAATGATAAGGTAACTACTATCTGTGTTTTCTGATGGTCTCAGGCTACCCCTGTGAAAGGGTCATTTGAAATCCCAATGGGTCAAAACCTGCAGGTTAAGAACCACTGGACTAGGGTGTTGATATTTTGGTGATTTCTCTCATACTCTGAAGCTTTTCAACAAAATACATCATTAAACTAGTCTATGGTATGTCTCAGATTGAGTGGACCCTAATGGGCTTTCCCTCTGTATTTTAGGTTTGACAATAGATTTTCATAAGTGTAATAGAGCATTATAAATACTGTAACCACAGGGTAGATTTAGTAGGAACGGTTTGGCATACTCTACCTTTTGATTGTATGGCTCATTGACTTTCTCTTTCTTGGACTGCAGGTGGAGGAGCTGGAACAGGAGAAGAACCATTGGCATTCTGAATTTAAGAAAGCTCAGCATGAGTTGGTGACCTATAGTACCCAGGAGACAGAAGGCTTATACTGGAGCAAGAAGCACATGGGTTATCGCCAAGCTGAATTCCAGATTCTAAAAGCCGAGCTAGAAAGAACCAAAGAGGAGAAGCAAGAACTGAAAGAGAAACTTAAAGAGACAGAGACACACCTGGAAGTACTGCAGAAGGCCCAGGCCTCCTACCGGAACGCAGAGGGAGATGACCTAGAAAGGTTAATTACTAGAGTTTAGTTATCAGCTTGTGAGGACTAATGGGAATTACCTGCTAAGACCCCCTCTTACTGGTCATAGACAAGGGAGAAAAATCTTAATTCATTGACCACCATGGATTGATTAATTATTTCTTAGAAAGCCGCAGCCAGTCTCCCTGTGTTTGATGGCATGGTGCTTTCTGCCTCCTTTCTACCTAATGGAGACATAATTGTTAAGAAATGTAGGCCCATTTTGAAGGGACTTCATTTAATTCTGTTGGCTAATGACTTCATGTCATCTCTTCTCCTGCCCCCTCACTCCATCATACAGGGCT